TATGTGTAACTAACTTCTTTTTTTCTAGCTGCTTTTAAGATTCTCTCTTCATCTGTAACCTTTGGCCTTTTAATTATGATGTATTTTGGGGTAGGCCTCTTTGCATCCATCATGTTTGGGACTCTGTTCTTCCTGGACTTGCATGTCTAGTTCCTTCTCCAAATTAGGGAAGGTTTCTTTCATTTGTTTTCCAATAGATTTCCAATTTCTTGCTCTTTCTCTTCTCCTTCTGATACCCTTATGATGCAAATGTTGGACCTCTTGAAGTTGTCCCAGAGGCTGCTTATACTATCCTCATTTTTTGAATTCTTTTTGCTTCTTGTTGTTTTGATTGGTTGTTTTTTGCTTCCTTATGTTCCAAGACATTGATTTCTCAGCTTCATCTGAGAATCACTCTACTGTTGATTCCCTGTAAATGGTTCTTTATTTCAATTAGTGTATCCTTCCTTTCTGACTAGATCTTTTTTATGTTGTTGAGGTCCTAAGTTCCTTGAGCATCCTTATAACCAATGTTTTGAACTCTGCATCTGATAGATTGCTTATCTCCATTTTGTTAAGCTCTCTTTCCTGGAGTTTTGATCTGTTCTTTCACTTGGGCCATGTTTCTTTGTCTCCTCGTTTTGGCAGCTTCCCTGTGTTTGTTTTTATATATTATGTACAGCTGCTTTGACTTTGTGTCTTGGTAGTGTGGTCTAATGTAGTAGGTGTTCTGTAGGTTCCAGTGGCACAGCACCCCCCATCATCCAAGCTGGGTACCCAAGGTGCGCCCTTCATGTGGGCTGAGTACACACTCCTCTTGTAGTTGAGCCTGGGTTGCTGTTTACAGATCAATGGCAGGGATTTACCCACACCAGTCAGCTGCAAGGATTGGCTGTGTTCACTGACATCCAACTTCCACCCTCCATGGAGGATCAGCTGTCCAGTGTCAGGGTGGTGGTGTTCTGACTTGGTTTGTAGCTGTCCATTGGGTGTGCTGGCCTTTGGGATTCTTCAGTGATGCAGGCCTAGGTAAGCCTTCACCTCTGTTTTGCCCAGGGCCCACCCTGCTTGAGCTATAAACAATCTGAGATGGCTGCTACTTGTTCTGGGCTTGGAGATTCTTGGGTGAAGCCAAGCTATGAATCTCCACTGGCTGCTGCTACTGCCATGCCTGAGGCTCACTGAGGCCAACTGTTGCTTTTTGAGAGGATTTAAGAAGTTGTGCAGCATGAGTCAAGACCAGCCATCCATATGGAAAAGCAGCGTGGCTGGGTCTGTAAGTTGGGTTGGGTGGAGTCTCTGGGGATCTCCAAGGCTGGTCATAATATTAGCCAGGTTGATGGAGTCTCAGATATGGTACCACCAGCTTGCCATCTCTGTTGGAGGGTTTACAAAAGGGACAATGGTCTCTGCTTGCCTTGATGCCAGACACTTCAGTTCCTCCCTTTATGCCACTGATGACTTTCAAGGTGCTACCCCAATGCTGGAGCTCAGGGAGAGTGAGTCTGAGTAAATGAGTCTGTGTGTGGGTTCTTTAAAAGGTACTATTTGGGGCTTCAGCAGTATTTGCCACTGACTCAATTCCCACTGATTTTTGCAGCCAGAAGTTGTGGGGACCATCCCTCCTGGTTTCAGGAACTGTAGCTTCGATGACAGGTGAGAGGGCTCCAAAGCTGGAGCTAAAGCAAGGCGGCCTTGGGAAAATAGGCCACTGAGGAGACAAAACCTGTCCCCCTGGCAGGGGCACAGCCCCTGCCTCCCTCACATTACTCTGCTTGGCTAGTTAGTCTATGACAGGTAAGACCCCTCAATGGCAGGGGCAGCCTAAGACAGGCAGTTGCATAGGGGCCATCGGGGAAGGACTTGGGGGACATGGAGAATGGGTAAAAGACCCTTATTCTTTGGCTCTGATATGGCCAAAGTCCTGAGTCTATCTGAAAGAAGTCTCCTTCTCTCTTAGCCGCTCTGCTTGTCTGCCTGGCTCTGGTTTGAGGCAGTGCTGGAGGCAGGTACAGCCTGACTGGATCAGATGGTTCCCGGTGAAATCAGGCCTAGAAGTAAATTCCTTTAAGCATGCTTTGTTTTTCCCTCAAAGCTCTAACTGGCTCACACTGGGAGGAAATTTACATTACTCACAGACCCGGACCCTAAACCACTTGGTGCTCTTATGTTAACTCATCTCGAACCCATGTAAATAGGTGTTCCCGCCCTTTGTCTTCTTCACACATCAGCTATTCTCTGTAAACATAAACATACTAATGTAATGAGATTACCTGTACATTCCTACTACCTAGTCCCCACTGATAACCCTTTCAATAAAAGCCACTGAACACAGGGGCTCAGGGCATTCTCCACTAGAGGGAATTGCTACCCACTATCTCTGGCAGATTGAGAAAGTAGTTTGCAACGGCTTATTTTTATTTCCCCATCCATGATGACCCAGAGCTGCTCTGTGGGACAGAAATCTGCCTCCACCTCAGGGATTTATCTTCCTGACACTGGAACCCTGGGCTGGGACTCCTTTCTCCTGAGATATCCCTCCTGAGATCTCTCCTGAATTTTTATCCACCACACATGGGGTGTGGGACCAGCTTGTTCTAGGTCTGCGCCCCGTTTTACTAATCTGGATGGTTGTGGTTTCTTTAATTCCATAATTGTTAGACTTCCATTTTTATTTCTGATGGTTCTGAGTAATACTTACTCTATATTTTAATTGTAATTTTGATGTGGTTGTGTGAGAAGGCGAGCCATGTCTGCCTTGCTGCCATCTTGACCAGAAGTCTACATTTATCACAGTCAAAAATTAATGTCAGGTTAAATTATTTTGACATGACCTTTAAGCGACATAAAAATGTTTAAGGTTCTAAGTTTTATTTCACTTTAGTAGACATTAAAGGTGGCCTAGTAAATTGGAAAACCAGAATGTCATTAATCAGCATTTCATTAAAAACCATGCTGTTCTTGAAGGCATTCTTCACAGCTAAGAACTATACAGAAGCTTAACATCTTCCTGGGCTCCACAGTGGAGGAGCAGCTGCACTTCCATCTTCTGCATCTTGGGAACCCCAACTCAGGAGACACAGTCAGGAATCCTGTCCAAGGAAGAATTCAAGACTCGCAACTACCCCAAGTACTGTGCTGAGGCCCTTTCGAGCTTGCAACCCGACTTGATAGCAATGGGGCTGATCTCACCAGGCTGCTGCAGTTTGAAGGTCACAGTCGGATTTCCTCAAGGACACCCTGAAACACCCATTCTTTCTCGGTCTGAAGAAGTGTGTATTTCCATCAACAAGTTACACAGAAAGTACACATCACTATCAAAAAAGGCAGTGGAGCCTGCTAGTGTGGCTCAGTTGATTGGAGCACTGTCTCAGAATCCAAAAGGGTGTGGGTTCGATTCTCAGTCAGCATATACCTAGGCTACAAGTTCAACTGTTTGATTCTGTCCCTCCCCGCCCCCACCCCGCCCCCTCTTTCTCTCAGCAATGAAAATAATGTGGTGGGTTAAAAATATTAGCACTGGAAACTTTTTTTTGAGCTGATGATTCTGAAATTTATTTGCAGGAGGTTTAGATAAACTAGAGACTCTTTTAAGAGTTGTCAAAAAATGATTAATTTTTAATCCAGCTATTATAACCAAAACAATCCAGGCAAATGGACTGCATATTTTATAGATTTATTTTCTAAAAAAATATGTGAAACTAAAGAATGTGTTCCTGGTGACCACACACAGTGCCACTAGTTTTTTATGCCATGTGCCAATTTCGATGGAAATTACTAATTCAAATGATGGGCATAAGCAGCACAGAGCAATGGAAAGTACAGAGCACAAAGCCAGATGCCTGCTTCTGAATTCTCTGTTCCATAACTCGTTTTGAGTTAGGTCAAGTTACCTAACCCGTGCCATCAATCAGTCTCCTCTCCTGTTACGTAATAATAGAACCTACCTCATAGTGTTGTCATAGGGATCAAGTTCATATTCACTGAAGTCCTTAGAATAGTTAACTGGCCCATAACAAGTCCTCCATGTCCTGATATTTACAAAAGCCAACCAACATGGCAAGTATTGCATTAGAAAATGAAGATAAAATGGCCAAAACATAAAGTTATGTGCAGTCTATAAGATACAGACACTGACAAATTAATCACAGAAGTAAATAAAACAAAGTATGGAATTGCAAACTGAAGTAAGTATCATGGAGGAATAAGTGTTTTAAAAAGAGTACACTCACTAGCATCATACGAGGGGAAAAGGGAGGTATTCCTGTTCCAGGCTTAGCCAGTACTTTTATTTAAATTACCACTCTTTAAAAAGATAATTTAATAATTTTACCATCTAGACATTATCTTCGTCAAAAATTAACGTCAACTTAAATTATTTTGACATGACCTTTAAGCAACATAAAAATGTTTAAGGTTCTAAGTTTTATTTCACTTTAGTAGACATTAAAGGTGGCCTAGTGAATTGGAAAACCAGAATGTCATTAATCAGCATTTCATTAAAAAACATGCTGTTCTTGAAGGCATTCTTCACAGCTAAGAACTATATAAAAGCTTAACATCAAACAATAACTACACAGAGGAAAAACTTTACAAGTCCAGTATTTTAGGGACTGTGCCACACATAAGGCCCAGGTTCCTGCCCTTACTTTAACAAGGCAAACCATGCAACAATTCCAGAGGAGTCTAAGTTGTCAGATACTTGGACCGTAAGAAAGCAATCAGGTTCAAAACCAACTTCCCAGCTACCTAACAAACCAATAATTAAAACAAATGAAAGAAAACACCAATAACAAAACCTAAAAACAAGATGGACTTAGCTTGCATTTTAAAACTGACAAGGAATTATAAAATGAGCAAAAGAATCAATACAAGTACCAAATGAGTGCTAGAGAAAAATAATTTGTAATGAAAACAAAAAAACCTGTTAAAGTTCTATGAGAGAACTTGAAAATACCTAGATGTTAAAAAAAAAAAGGTTACAGAGTACGTACCCAAACGCCCTAAAACTGACACCAGATCTCATAAATGAACTTTTAAAAATTTTATTGTGTATGCATGAAAAGCATTTTCAGGTGGAGAATGACTGATTTTTTTTAAAGCAAGGGGTGGCAGAGCAATAATCCAAAGTCACTTAAAATATTTGCAAGAACTCTTTAAGGTTCTCTTTACCCTTAGACAGCTGAAGAATTATCTAAAGAAAACCAACCAAAAAATGTATACATAATAAAAATTAAAATCTATGGCATATAATATAAATTCTAATAAAATAGATTACTGTAGTTCTTTGCCTATATATGGTGAGAACAAGTTACATTTTTTTTTTTTACCTATAAACATTTGTCAATGGTAGATTGATTTCAATTTATATTTTTAATGGTTTATAAATTCCTGGCTTAAACTAGGATAGGTCAAAAACTGCCCTTTAATAGTGTTCCTCTAAAACCAGATGGTCAAAATTAATGTTCTGCTTTAGTCAACAGCAGAATTAGTTTTCTGGAATTAATTCTTAGGTTTTGTAAATGTTCTATGATTATGTAAGACTTTAAGAGGAAAATTAATATGGGATATAAAAGACTGTACTTTCTTTGTAACTCTTATGTAAACTTACCTAAAAAATAAGAGGTTGAATTAAAGAAATAAAAGTGCAATTTCTTAGAACCATACTTATTTTATACTAGCAAATGTGCTACACAAGAAAAATAATGTTCCCCATGGTTAGTTTAACTGTCAGATTAGTTACCAAGTATATATAATAAACCTATCTTTGTTTTGATACAGTAAATTCTGAATGAGGAGGAAGAAAGTTTATTTCTAGAGAAACAACTTAATAAAGTTAACCATTTTTTAATTTTGACTGATAAAAATAAAACATTTTAGCTAATTATAAATGTGTCTCTTTATGTGTTAATAGAAGTATCATTTAGATTTTAATCTGAGCAACAAATTCAGAGGTTCATGGGAATAAGTAACAGAAGGGTCACTAATGTAACCAAACTAAATAGGTAGGTTTTCTCCGAAAACAAAAAAAGTCAGTGCTTTGTAACTAACTCTTAGGCCTATAATGCACTTGTTTTAAATAACAGTTCAATTGCACATAACATATTAAGGTATTGTTTTGGGGAAAATATCCTCAAAGAAGGAAACACTAAAAGAGGGTAATCATTACCTCAAATCAAAACAAATAGCACTATCTCCCTAAGCAATAAAGATTGCATGTGTTCTTATGAACCCAGGTTCCTAAATTATAAAAGATAAATTTTAAAAATTTAAATACAATTCAATATAAACTTATATACTCTATTTGGGTCCAATTTTTACTACTAAAAATTTCTTGCCATGCTATTTTGTGCCATGACAGCCTGACTGCCAGACTTTTCCTCTCTCTATCTGTAGTGCCGCTGAACTACTCAGGAACTGCGGAACTGCATCTCAGGGTAACTTGCTGACCCTTCAGAGTGAGGTATACTAACTCTTTAACTAAAATTGTACTTCTGCAAATTTTCCTTTATAAGGATTACATTAATCCCAAGAAAAGAAAAACACTCAAGGGGCTTAGGAAATAATCATTTTAATCTATGTAAGTGTAATTCATGCCCAAGTTTATTAAATTCTGCCAGTTTTTGCCTTCATAACATTTTTCATTTTCTTCATGAGCTCTGCACTACCTCAGAAAGCGACCTATCATTTAATGGGTTCAATTAGCATAAACAATCTAATTCTGTGATACCTATTTAATACAGTACAATAGATAATCAACATTGTATCACCTAGAATTGTCAAACTGTTCATGAAATCCTAAAAAAACTATAAAACGAGCTATTTTATTTAACATGTAATAGTTGTCATAAAGCAAAGCTTAAATATTTAGTTTTCTGGAACTAATGTATTTCCATAAGCTTTTTAATCTATAATTTTACAGATAGTTTATCAAGGGAAGCCAGATATATATATATATATATATATATTTAGTTTCTCCTTATATTTAATTAAACATTTTAAGAGGGTGTAAGCTGTAATTCAGATACAATTTAGCCACAACACCATACCAAGACCTTGAATAATCAGGAAAGAGATATTTAACATTATTGCTTAGTCTTACAAAATGGTGAATTTTAACCAAATTGATACCTCTACACTTCTATTTATGTTTCCTATACTCTTATATGGTTCTGCTTGGCAAGTAATATAGGTACTAATAAAAACTTTTTTTAATTAGTTGCAAATTCTGATTTGTTAATCAATGCACATATTCCTGTTTAACTAATTACTACTACTTCAGAATTAATCTTTTTACAGAAAAGTAACTGTCCCAAGTGGAAAAAACACTGCAGAGCTTTATCTTTTCCTTAAAGATTTTCAAGTATTATAGGAACACAAATGCATGAAAAACTAATTAAAAATTTGACATTTCATCTTGTTTTACTAATTAGGGAATAAGAGAAAGAGATGTGAACAAATGTTACTTTATATTCCTCTGCTTAACATAATATTTTACTAAGAACTACTCTATTTATGAGCTATTTTCTAGCTTCTTCAAGTATGGGACACAACTACAGTTCTATGAGTGAGGAGAAATGAATACTCAATCTTAGGTAACTCAAAAGAAAAATGGGAAGCACAACAAGATAAACTGACTTTGGCTTTTAAGAACCTATACTGTTGACCCTGAAATGCCAGATTCAACAACAACAACAAAACCAAAGATTACAGCAGCAAGCCACCACTTCACCACATAATTAAGAATTTTGAAAGAGGCAGTAACTTGTTATTTCATCTCAATTCATTCTGTTTTATCTTCTTTTTGTTTTTCCTGGTTTTTTGCTGCAGGAAGTTCAAGGCTTGCCCACTGCATAGGTTCAGCTTTTCTCATGGTGATCTCAATCTTTGTTGCAGTCATACTTACATAACTTCGTTTTACATCAATCACCTGCAATATATCAGAGAAATAAAGTAAATCGGGGTGGTTTAATTAGTCTTAGAGGAAAATACTGGTCTTGCCTATTTTAATAATCAAAAATCTAAGACTCTAATGCTATTTTAAGGTTTTATTTGTTTACTTTTAGAGAGAGGGGAAGGGAGGGAAAGGAGAGAAACATCAATGCACAGGGGATACATCGACTGGTTGCCTCTTGCATGCCGCTAACTAGGGACCTGGCCAGCAACACAGGCACATGACCTGACTGGGAATAGAACAGGTGACCTTTCACTTTGCAGGCTGGCGCTCAGTCCACTGAGCCACACCAGCCAGGGCTGTAATGCTATTTCTATACCTACATTCTAACTTTGTGGTTAGAATAACCAGGTTATATATCTAGCATCAATTACTAAAGTACTGCCTTTTATTGTATAAATGGTATTTTAAATATAAGAAAAAATTCTGCATGATTCATAATACTTACACCCCATAATTTCACATTTTGATGAAATTCCTTTTCTCCTTCGAATACAATGTGCACATTTAACTGAAAAAGATATATATATATATAAAATTGAGTAACTGATCAAATCCAAACTGACGATTTATAAAATAATGATTATAAAAATAAGAATATATTGATAAAAATCCTTTAAGCTATTTTAACTAAGTGCCAATATTGTATTTTTTTTTTAATTTGAGAAAACCAGTAACAGAAAAAAAAATTTGAAATTTTACATTTTGAGAGAACTAAGTACCATATTATTTGCTAAATCTTCTAAAGCTACCACAGTATCTCCAGAATGCTTTACAAGTAACTCTAGATGTAGAAATTTTCATCTAAAATAGTTTCTATGAAAGCAGTTTCAAACTATTTTTTCAAATGTGAAAGATTAAAAAGATCTTACCTTAAAATCAGCTCAGATAAGAACAGTATTACATCAACACAAAGAATAAACATGAAAGACAGTCTTTACTCAGAGATATTTAGGGTACTTACCGATGTACTATTTGCTGCTACCTGACTAAGTTCTGGAAGTGAATTTTTAGCATACACTGAAATGGTGACTTCACCCCCAGTTTGATGCCAGTCATGTCTACATGGAACAACTTTTTTCCCCTGTAATACAAGACAAACATTATGAGTTCACAAAGTGCCACATAACCTCTTAAAAAGAAGAATTTGAGCACTGGCTAGTGTGGCTCAATGGACTGAGGGCCGGCCTGTGAACCAAAGGGTCACCAATTAGACCCCGAGTCAGGGCACATGCCTGGGTCGCGGGCCAGGTCTCCAGCTGGGGGCATATGAGAGGCAACCACACACTGAAGTATCTCTTCCTCTCTTTCTCCCTTCTCTCCTTTCCCCTCTCTCTAAAAATAAATAAATAAAATCTTAAAAAAAAAAAAAAAAAAAAAAGGAGAAGAATTTGACCCATCTAAATGAGAAAAAATTACCACGTACAACTGAGTCCTTAATGTTTGTAAGGGCAAATTTCAAAAAGTTTAAACAGTATGTCATGATACAAAAAACATTTATAGATTTATGATTTGAGAATGTGAGAACATGCTTACTCCTTCTATTTGATTTTTTTTTCTTTTAGGGCCACGGTATTAACATATGGTAAAAAAGATAATTTAAGAACTCCTATAAAACTTTATCCAGTTTTAAAATTCTGCAATCCACTAAGTATAGCCATAAAAACATTCTGAGAAGACTGAAGTGAGAAAGACATTTTCTTGGCGGTATAACCAGACCACATCTTAACTTCATGCACAGGAATATTTGACTTATCTTCTACAAACTAGAATTCGGGAAAAATTAATTGACTGCTTACAACTATTAGTTACTGTTATTGAATATTTTCTCATAACAACATAGAGAAAAAGTAAAAATTCATGGAAGTAGCCTTTTGATTACTATTATGGAAATAATTATTGTCTACCAATAGTACATTGCCGTATCAGGAACTATTTTAAAAAGAGACAAATTGTGACTTGTTTTATAAATGAGGGTAAATTAGTCATATAATGCAGGAAACTGAAGCACTGTTGTTGTAAAAAGTAATATTTACATTTTTGTACCATTATACTATCTGAATTTAAATTACTTTTACCACTTTTTTTTTTTGCTCTTAGGCAACTGGTTTAGACACTTAATACTTGATAAATTCATGCTTTAAAAAAAATAAAAACATTTCATTAAAGGTTATAGTCTGAAAACTTTTGCATGCAACAGAAAACAAGTTTATTTTTTCAAACTAAATCTTTCAAAGTTTTAGACCTTGGAGAAAATACAGGGAGACTTCACTTTTTGCTAATAAAACATTCCTAGAAGTTTTGTGGTAGATGAATTACTTTGAGTGATATACAGCATGAGGCAAAAGTAGGTTTACAGTTGTTAGTATAGAAACTAATACAATAATAATAACAAGAATAAATTCTGTGTTTTGTGTACTCACAACTGTGAATCTACTTTTGCCCCACTCTGTATTTATAGTCTCCAACCATGTGTTATTAAAAAGGAGAAACTATATAATACTCAAATGCAGAAAAATGAACCTCTACAGCAACTTGAAAATTTGCAATTACCTTTTAAGTTCAGACACATACACTGAAAAGGTTCACTGCCTTGGGTTTAATTAGTGCCAAGGGAACACACAGATCTAATTTAATATAAAATAATATTAATAATAGCTACCACTTATTTAGCAATAAATTGCTTGCCTTCTTACAACTTAATGGGATTTGGGGAAATATTTGCAGAACCCCAAACTTTTAAAAAAGCTGTCCAAGGATGTCCAAGGAAGTAGGAACTGATGCTTTTTTTTGTTGTTGTTGATAAATCTCCCTGTAGCAAGCAGAGGCATTCAAAACAATTCCAACAAGTCTGCAATCTTCGTCTTTGGCCACCAGATGAAGTGTTTGTACATCTCTGAGTAGTTGAATGAACTGCTAAGAGGCCAAAGAGAATCAGGGATCTAAATGATCAATAATTCAAATGATTTCTGTTAAATAAAAAGTGGGAAAAGACCATGGAATTAAAGAAAAATATGTTCTAATCTTTCTAGGCTTACATATTTCATAAAAATCCATATAATTGTATCAATATACACAATGACTATTTTGATCAAAGGACATACTCTGGGAGTTTGAGATTAATTTTAGCTTTTAGGCCCATTAAAACTCTATTGTGTGAGGGAGAGATAACTTTCTTTTTTAATCTAAAGACAGCATAATCTTAAATTTTTAAAAACAACTCAGATGAAAACACCTGAAAGTGTTATTTTGAAAAGGCTACTTACAGCATCCTTTGCAGTCCACGTGTGTTTTCCTGTTGTACAGCCCTCTTGAGCTAAGAATGTATTAAAATCAGAAGTTTTTCTTCTACAACAGCTCCAGTATTTCATCCTTTAAATTATCACAGAAAAATTTCAGAAATCTCACAATCAATCAAGACCAAAAGCATCATAGTGACAAGTGTGATTTTTTAAAAAATTGATAATAAATAACTGTGCACCTTTAATAGCTTACAATTATCTAAGTTACCTAGCAGTTAAAATGATCAAATGACGAATAATTTTAAAACCAGAATCCTCTTTATTATAGCAATTTTGGAGCTCCTGAATAACGATGCTTAAACCCAACACAAAAATTCCCAATCAGCCTTTCACTGAAAGCTCACATTCTCATGTCCTCATGAAACCACCAAAAAAGTGGTATGACCAAAAATTTTCTATCCTCACATTTTAATAATCCGAGAAAGTGAGAATATGCAAACAAACTAAAAAATAATGTGTGCACAACTGTGAAGGTCAATCCCAAAACAGGTGAAACCCACTTTTATATACTTGGGAAAAAATCTAACTCTGGAAGACAAAAATTACAGTAGAACTTTGGGTTTGAGTCCTGAGGAGTTTTGGAAACAAAATGGAAGATTTTAACACAGTATTGTGTTTCCAGAACTACATGGTAATATGCGAGAGAGGCTCTTAGCTGAGGGCTATAGAAAGTGTAGGTTTTCTTGGGTGTCCTCAGTGCCCCAACGTCAAAAATTGTAAAGATTCTGCAATGCAGAGACAGTCCTTAAAGCAAAAAAACCTATTCAGTCCAAATAGAGTATCACACTGAAATATAACAAAATAAGGAGAAACATGAGGTTTGAGTCACAATGGCCACTTAACTGTAATACTATTTCAGTTTCTCACATGTAAAAAGAAGGCAAAACCCACATTTCTAGGTTTTGCCAAGAATACGCAATGATATAAATAAAATATCTACGCTGCATGGCAAATAATATTTAAAAGCATGTTAACTTTTCTAACCTCTACCATAAAGTTTTAATTAGTCATGTATAAGTTACCCTTCATGGAAAATAGGTACTCCAGAATGATATACACAGACTTCTTCTAGACTCTGTAGACCCTGGTATGTCTAAAAGAAAAAATAAGAGAAAGCATTATCTTCATATGTCAGTGTTACATTACACACATATTTGTAGTATTGGTGATCTCTATGAACTATGAAAATGCTCAAGAAATAACATTACCTAGAGTAGTCATAAATTCATCCCAGGCCATTCCAATAAGAAAAAAAAAAAGATTCCTTTTTGAATATGCTTAAGTTTCAGTTCCCTATGAAAAAGGCGAATAGAAAAGTAGGCAATAGGATGTAGTAAGATGCTTTCAGACTTTTGGATATGAGGACACATCCAATCATATTCAGGTATTTAAATTTACAGAACAATATTAAAACCAAGAGATTAGTAATCTCAACAGAAATATAATTACAGTATGACTTATGTTCACAATAAACTCTGTGTGGGCATTATGAATTAATATGGAAAATCTAATAAGCAATTCCGGAAGTTCTAGAGTGATGATTTCTTATCCCTATGAAGGGTAAAATGAGCTGCCGACCTATATATATCTCCAGGATTTTTCTGGAAGATCCGGGCCCCATTGCTGCTGTAGGTGAAGGCTCTACAGATGAATTCACAAAAAGTTATGTTAATAAAACACAGATGCAGCCAGCAGTATATTTTCTTTCTATTTTGGTATTTATTTCACCCACCTACAGTACAGAAAATAAAGTTCTGTATATTTACTTTTTTGTAGATCCAAAGTATTGGGTGTGTGTATCTCCTAAAATATACCATAAGTACATGAAACTGAGTATGTTAAATTCTGAATCTATCACTGTTGCCCCTTTGAACCTCCTACTTGTCTTCCTGCCTTACTAGATGGCACCATATCTACTCAGTCTCCCTGTACGTGCTCTTCAATTTCTCCTCTCCCTCCACTCATATGTTGTCTATCACAAAACTGTCAATTTGACTTAAAAATATCTATCACTTTAATTTGCTAACCTTCCTCATGATCACCAGTAGATTTCAGGCAATGAAACTATACTAACAGACTTTGACTGATGACCTTGAAGTAAGCAGATTTCTTAAATAGGACACAGAAAACAAAGGAAAATTGGATATTACTAAAGAGCCTCTGTTTATCAAAAGCCAGTATTAAGATAGTGAAAATGTATAGTGTTTGCAACAAAGAACTTTAGCCAAATATATATATATATATATATATATATATATATATATATATATATATATATAATTCCAGAAATCAGTTAAGAAAAAGCAAACTTAATAGAAGAGTAGATAAAAGATTCTGGACATTTTACAAAGGAGGATATCCAAATGGCCAATAAAAATACAGAAAAATACTCAATTTCATCATCTGGAAAGTTAAATTAAAACCACACTGGGAATACTACACATTCACCAGAATGACGAAAATATAAAAAACTGATATTACAAAGTGTTACTGAGGTGTACAACAAATGAAACCAGCCTGATAAACTGCTGACAGGAGTGTAAATACAACCACTTTGGAAAACTATGTGGAAATATCTGTTAAAACTGAACACACACACACTCTATCATCCAGGAATTCCATTTCTAGTCATATCTCTAATAGAAACGTGTTCATCTGTCCCAAAAGTCATGCACAAAAATGTTCATAGCAGCATCAATCCAAAACATTTAAAGGGCAGTAGAAAGGGTAAATTGACTACATATTCAAACAATGGCATATTTTAAAACAATGAAAATGAACGAGCTACAGCTACATGTAACAAAGATAACTCTAACAAACATTTTATTGAGCAAGGGTACCTGTCCTATCAATCTATTTACATTAAGTTCAAAAACAGGCAAAACTAATCAACGTTAATAGAAAAAATGTGGTTACCTTTGGGAGCGGGAATAATGAGAGGAGGCATAAGGAGGGCTCTGCTTTGTGAAAATCCCTTGAGCTATAACTTATATTTGTATGTTTTTAAATGTAACAGTTCAGTGAAAAAGCTTAAAAATTGTCTTTAATGGCTTCCATAAGCTAAAGTCTAACTTTTTAAAAAAAGATTTTACTTATTTTTAGAGAAAGGGGAAGGGAGGGAGACAGAGAGAGGGAAAAACACCAATTGGCTGGATCGGTTAGCTTCTTCTAGTATACACACCGACTGTGGACTGAACCCCCAACCCAGGCATGTTCCCTGACTGGGAATCAAACTGGCGACTGAACTGGGGACCTTTTGTTTTCCAGGATGCTGCCCAAACAATTGAGCCACACTGGTCATGATGGTCTAAAGTTTAACTTTTGAGCAGTATTAAAAGCCTTTCAGAATCTAGCCCCTACTCATCTCTTTTAATCTCAACTTCACACTAGCAAATTCTGTACCATTATTATTTATTGTTTTCTATATGCCACTTGTTTCACCTACCTGTGCTTGGGATATCCTTTTCCCTTTTGTCCATTTACAGAACTGACAAATGTGTTTCAAAATTTATTTGGGATACCTTCTCTCTGTGGATCTTCCTCCACTAACCCATCACTTGCACTGTCTTCCTTACCCCAAGAATTAATCATTCTCTTTTATCTACCACTTCTACCTTTGTGACTATATTTATGTTCCCATCCCTAAAGAGTAAGGTGATCTCAAACTTAACGTAAGGGTAAACTACAAACCTACTCCCCCCAAACAGCTCTTCTTTCTTATTATGTGACCAGTCACATGGATGCTAGAGTCACAAGTCCCCTTCCTTCACTTCCAGCATTAGCAAGTCCTGTTAATACTTTAAAATATCATTCATTCTACACATATTGCCATGTGCCAGGTACTGTACTAAGCATTCAAAATACAGAAAAGAACAAAATAAATAAAACCATTTCCTTATAAACCTTATATGAGGGAAGGAAGGGAAGAAAAAGTTAGATGGGATGGATAATTAACAAAGTAAGTAATGTGTCATAAGGTGATAAATGCAATGGAGAAAAAAGGAGAGAGTGGATACCTTGGAGGATATGCAATTTTACATAGAGTAGGCAGGAAAAAGCCTCACTGAGAATATCTGATTAGATGCCATTTACCCACTTCTTGAAAATATACCCTCCGATCACACTGTCTGGTCTTTCACAATAGCACCCTAACTGGTTTTCCTTCAAATTCCACTCCTTCCCCATTATATTTGTCACTTAGTAGCCAAAGGCAAATTTTAAAACCCCTACTTAAAACAGATACTAGCTTCCCATTATACTGAGAATAAAGCCCAAACACCTCATCGTTGCTTGTAAGGACCTCTATAATCTTGTCTACCTCTCTTTTTGTACTACTTACTTACACACCTTTGACCAAGCCCCACTGACCTTTTGCATAATTTTTTGAATAGACAAGCTCTAATGCCTCTACACATACTACTCCCAAGTCTACTCCAAGGTTTACGTAACTTATCCACTACATTATTCAGATTTTTTATTTAGTGTCATCACAAAAGATTTCCCTGACATTCTGATTTAAAGCTTCACTCCATTTCCTTGTCTTCATAACTACCTGAATTCATTTTAATTACCTATTTGTTTTTTCCCCTCAATTAAGAGTATCAACTTCAGAAGAATAGAGATTTCTGCTTTATTTAATACTATGTCCCTGGCCCCTAAAACAATGTCTGGCATATAATTAAGTTCTCAGTGAATGCTTGCTACATCAGAATTATTTAAACCCAGGATTCTATGAGATATGTTGCTCCTCAGTCTCTTACCTATGTTCATAAGCCCTAGCTCATAGCACACAGTGCCCAACATGTAACAGGCACACAAATGTTTGCTGAATTGATTCACTAAATTGCATTTGCTTTATTCAAAATTAAAATTTTCTATGACCCAACACAAATTTTACAACATATACCTTTGAACAGCCTCCATTTTTACATGAAGTCCCAATCTTAATTTCATCACTATCTTCATCTGAAACAAAAAGTCAAATGAGAAACATTAAAATAGAACACTTTACTATAGTGCCATTCTTAAAAAGTACCCTTTTCCATCAAGCAAGTATTTAAAAAGTGATCTAAATACAAAAAACACTAACATTTTAAAATTAAATAATTTAAAATTAAAATCATTTTAAGTAAGTTTTCTTTGTGATCTTTCAGGTAATGTATTTAAAAAGCTAATAAGCCTTTTACTATTATTAGGTTTTACCAATTATCTCTAAAGTGATATGATACCTTTCTAGTCTATAATACAATTTTATATCCAAGAGAAATCATGAAAGGGTAGTTTCCTCCCATGGTATCAGGTATAGGTCAGAGAATACTGAATAGATTTTATCTCATGTACAATTAAACATTTACAATTATCAAAGAAATTTAATTCACTGTTAAACCACATAGCCATTCTGGTATTATTGGCATTTAAAATACAGAAATATGTTCTTTCTGACAATGTGCTACTTTTTCATTTTTATATTCAGTCACATATCTCTGTTAGATAAATGGTTAATTGTACAGAAAAAACTACCACATACAAAACAAAAATCTTACCTTTATTTTTTTCATTCCCTGATGATAGTTTAAGTTTATCAAGTGCTTGTTTAAGTGAAGCAGATACTTTTAATTCCAAATTTGTCATTGGTTCATCTGGGCTGGAGAATTTTGAAACTTTATTACCATCATTGATGTACCAAAATATTTCTTTGTACTAAAAATAAATATACTTAAGAGTCTATTTATGGAAAGAAATGAAATGGTTTTTTAATTGAGTTTTTCCTATTAAAAAATATTAACTATTCTGTTTTAATAGAAAAGGTTCTGATATTAAAATATTAAGTCTCACATAATCAAGCTACCACCAACAGATTAACTTATTAACCAGTAAGGCTAATGGGAAGGAAATAGAGACTAGCAATCCAAGTTTGTCAAGATGCGTTATCTCCAAAGAAGGGACCAAAATATACTTTTACAATCCAGCCTAAACAAAATGCTGAGCATATAATAAACAAGAAATAAGTATCTACTATGCGAACCCATATTCCTGGTGGAAATAACTCACTTTGTGTGGACACTGGTGTATGCATCTATAATAAATTCGGATACAATTGTATCACAAGGTAATTTTAGTAGAGTTTAAAAAAACAGTAACAGCAACCCCTAACATTTCATAATGGTTAAGTGTTTTACAAGTTATGTATTGTATGATCTGTTTAAGGCCATTTAATAAATATGAAGAATATTAATAAAGTAGAAATAGAAATCCTAAGTTTATTCATTTTACATTCTTAATGAAATAAAATCTCTGATGCAGGAGGCCCTTAAAAAACTGCTTAAAAAACCTGTATCCTCCTAATCTCTCTAACACCATCAAACGTATTTAGGGTAAAATATTTAATTTCTCCCACTTCCTCTTAAGTAAAATTAGTAACAGTCCATTGCTTAAAGAAAATAGAACCAAATATTACCAATTATAGTATTACAGCTACACTGTAATATTCCGGAAGGAGTCATACCAGAATTCCTGTCTTTTCCTGATAATTTTTTTAAACTGGCAAATCAGCTGTCAAGGCTTCTGATAAAGTCTCTCATGATTATGAATAAAGTGAACATGGAAAAAAATCATTCTAAGTAGTTTGTTTAAATAAACAAACATCAGAAAATCTCAGGATTATCTTGGTCTGGTATTATTCAATATGCTATAAATTAAGATGAATAAAGAAAAAGTGTGGTAAACCGTTAAGTCCGAAGTATGAATAAAACATCAAAAGGAGCTATATTTGAGGTCAAACCCCTATCTGTTTTCTGGCTCCTGTATTTTAGTTCTAAAACAACTTTACAGTCAAGTGAAATGTGAAGACCTGATGTAATAGTGGTACCTAGTATGCATGTGTGGGAATGTAAAATTAAGAGTCTAGATGATCAAAAGGAGAGTATGAACAAGCTGTATAATTCTATTGCAAATGAGCAACAGGTATTTTAAAAGTACTTTAACAGACATGTTATCTAAATCAAATACATTAAAAACTTGTCAGTAGTAATGAGAATAAGCCTTCAGCATCAGAAAATAAAAAATGAGTCACTAGGCTTGTTCTAAGTGGCACAATATAGACACATGAAAAAGAGAATTTAGCTCAATACAAGGGAAAATTATATACTGATTTAGTAACAATATAATGGATCATTCTAAAAGGAAATTCTCTTTTACTACATTTGGGGAACTAAATATTCTTTCACCGAGAATGTCCTAGAAAGTATTCAAGAAAGAGTAAAAGAATAGAAAGACAGACCTCTAAGTTCTTTCAACTCAAACTGATTTCCCTGACAAGGACAATTCCTTTAGAGAATTTCACTATGCCACGGTGAAAGACATGAAAAACTAAGGCACAGGATGGATGTGTGGCTCCCCAACCCTTCCACCATTATGATGGTACAGTGAGCAAGTCTGCAATGAAGTTTACTGTGTACATGGCTTTGAGTTGAGGGGGAATATAAAAGATATATCTAAAGGAAAACCTCCCTGGCTGCTGTGGCTCAGTTGATTGAGTGCCAGCCTGTGAACCAAAGGGTCACTGGTTTGATTCCCAGTCGGGGTACATGGGTCGCAAGCCAGGTCCTCAGTAGGAGGTATGCAAGAGGCAACCCCACATTGATGTTTCCCTTGATCCTTCCTTTCCCCCTTCTAAAAATAAATAAATTAACTCTTAAAAAAAAAAAAAAAAGGAAAACCAAATGGTAAAAGAGCTGGTCACCTGAACAACGGTTACAAATAGAATTACGCAACATCATAAAATACCAGGAACAAATGCTATTATTCAAATGTGACAAAAATATGCAACTGTAAAGAGTGTACCTTGGCCTCTTTATTGCTTCTACTGGTTTAGGGGCTTGAATGATGTGCTCCTGAAATTTGGGTTTCAATTCAGATAGTTCTTTCTTTTCAGTAGTCTTGACTTCAGGTTTGACGGGCTCAGGTGGCTTTTCGCTATTATGTCTTCCTTTCGTACAGCCCTGTTAGTGAAAGGTATTAAGAGTTATCTTCTCATCTGTTTCACATGCCATGATAGAAATACTATTTTGCTTTATTAATAAATTCCATCATGTTTTCTTCACTTTTATCTCACGGACTTATTTTAAGAAACTAGTAACAAGACTGAAAATGTGCTATATTTTTAAAGATTTTACTTATTTCTAGAGAAAAGAGGAAGAAAGAGAGGGAGAGAAACATCAATACGCAATAGATCCATCGATAGGTTGCCTTCCACACACCCCCAACTGGGGGACTGGCCCACAACCCAGGCATGTGCCCTGACTGAGAATCAAAGTGCCAACCTTCTGGTTCACAGGTTGGTACTCAATCCACTGAGCCACACCAGCCAGGGCAAATTTGCTATATTTTTAAATGAGCAAATTTATTACATCTGAATAATGCATTAAAAACAAGCCTCTGGATAAAACTTCATAAATATCTACTTAACTCTATATTAAACATACAGCACAAACTTGTTTATAGGAAAGAAATTCTAGAAATCTCACAAAGAGAATTCTAGAAATTATTTACAAAAAAGGGCCTCCATTTGATCCCCTTTTCTGCTAACTAGTTATATGACCTTGAGAAAGTTATTTAATCTCTTTAAACCTCAGTTTGCTCATCAGAATATGGAGATAAAGGCACTTAAGATATTGAGAGGATTAAATAAAATAGAATACTTGGCACATCTGGCAGGTGGCAAACATTCAATAAATACCTTTTCCATACTCCATTGAGTCATACATATATTTTAACATCTCTGAAATCAAAAGATTAACGATATGTCATTTAATTAGCAGCTTTTGTTTTTTTTCTTAAAAGTATATAAAATGGTACATTTTAATGATATCTTAGATTTAATAAAAATGTACTGTCTCTAACTAAAAATGGATTAACCTTTTGCCTTCCACTTTCCACCTTCTAGATATTCTTTCAGAACTACTAATGTCAAGAATTGACAAACAACTTGAGCCCTGACTGATATGGTTCAGTGGACTGAGTTCCAGCTTGCAAAACAAAGGGTCACTGGTTTGATTCCCAGTCAGGGCACGTACCTGGGTTGGGGTCCGGTCCCCAGTAGGGAGTGCATGAGGGGAAACCACATATTGATCTTTTTCTCCCCTTCTCCCTCCTTTTCCCTCTCTCTAATTAAATAAAATCTTAAAAAAAATGGACAATTTGAAATTTTAATCTCTAAAACAGATAAACTATTTTAAAGACTGTAGGAGGGGGTAAGCTCCATTTTAAAAGAAAAGTATGATTTGCAAGTTAAGGGGGACTAGTCTAAAATCAGACTCCTCAAATTTAGAGCTTCCCAGAATATGTACTGTTAGGAGATAATCTAGAAAGAAATTAATACTTACTACAATGCTCAAAAAATCAGAAAAATCAGTTGTTCTTCTCTTACAGCAAGACCAACCCTGAAACATAAGAGGAAAAAAATTGAAAATTGTGTTTGCATGAAAACCAAAACCCAGTGAAACACTCTACTTGCACTTAACTTCTTGAATCTGGAAATGACTTGAGTATATGTAGTCCACAGTTCTGAAATGGTATAAAATGATTCATCTAACCATGTGAAATGTTTTTAGTCCTTGGTTTAAAAAAACCCGACTAACAGTGTTAAAAATAATAAATAACAGTGTTGTGATCTATTATGAATGGAAACACCTTTTAGAAAAGGGAAACAAAAACTGCATGTTTTTAAAAATAGCACTTGACTGCTCTGGCCAGGTGGCTCAGTTGGCTGCAGAGCCTTGCCTACAAACCAAAAGGTCACAGGTTCGATTCTAGTTGGGGCACACACTGAGGTGGCAAGTTCAATTCCCAGTCAGGGAACATACAGGAGGCAACCAATCTGTGTCTCTGTGTCTCTCGCTTTCAAATCAATCAAACATATCTTTAGGTGAGGATTTAAAAAAAAGTACTTAATTTTTAGAAGTCAGAGATAATAATTATAATTTGTTTCTAAATAGCTGTTCCTCAACAAAAGTGCAACTTATTTTCAGAACATAGATTAATTAATATAGCAGCTTAAGCATTGTTAGATCTTTGAAGGTTAAATGATCGCTTCAGTCAGAAGCATAAAAAATAGAAATTGTTAGGCACTATGTAATTTCTGAACAAAATATCAACTGGCTAATCAAAAAATGGCTTTAAGTTTAATTCCACTGTAGTATAGAAAATAAGGAAATAAAAAGGCAGCTCTTCTCAAGACTTTGTAGGTCTGAAATACAGACTAAGGGCCCGCTTTGCATGTAACCACCCGCATTTAACTGTTTTTCCCAATAATTGCTTGAAGAATTTTGTAGTGAGTTTTTTTCACAATATACATTTAAAGTTTTTTAAAGAAAATTTAAAATGCTGTAATTCAAAATTTATTTTGAAATTTAACTCTTTTACTCTAAATTGAGACACAGACTGGCATTTGGGACAGATAAATTTAAATAGTGAGTATAAGGTTATGGCCATTTCTTAAGAAGGATTGTCTTTTTCTTTAAATATGCCTCTTCTAATTTGAATATTAAAATATACTTTCTTTTGTTAGTGTAATGATTAACTTCTTATTTGGTCACATAGAAAACTGGCAATAGTAGATACTATAATGATTTACATATTTTATTTAAAATCTAGTGAGCTGTGAAATCCAATAGTCTTGGAAAGTCTAGGTCTTCAAGAAATGTTTGTAGAGACAATAATAAACAGTAGGATTGGGAAAGACAGAAATAGATACTTCAAAATAAAATCATTAAGATTAATTAACCAGAATATTTAACAGTTGTGTAGTAAAAACTAAAAAGCGATGGACTGAATGACTGGAAAGTTAAGTGGTATCATTATTAGCAGCAGTAATTGCTGAGAGACAGGCTGTTTCTGGAATAAGAGTACACTTTAGAGACTGGTTTGTGGTTACCAACGACAAACATAAATGGAATATGCTGTAGAAGCTATAGAGGTAACATTTAAGGTGGAATGAATTAACAAAATAAGAGAAAATAGGAAGTCAAAGACTGAGAAGCAAAATATGGCTATGGTTAAGAGATAGGAAGAAAATATAGGAAAAGAAAAACATATAATAGGAAAAATAAACAGAATGGCAGTCTAGGATAGATAAAAATGCCCCTACCCCTGGAAAAAAATATATATTCTTACAGATTCACAGTTTCTATCTCCATAAGTTTGTAAATAGGCTAAAAAGATATGAGAAGAAGTCAAGTCTCATCTTGCTCTATTGAATGTTTGGACCATTTTCCTCACTTAGAACTAACCAGAATAACATAAACTTGGTATTTGCTCGTACATCTTTGTTGATCGTTGGCTACCTAAAAGATAAATGCCAGAAAATGTCCAACTACTTTCTGAAGGGTATAATTAGAAATTCAAAGGGCACTGACAATATTTAAACATTTAATAAGATGTTAATGTTCCTAAATACAAGTAACAACACCTAAAACCATGGCAGCCATGCTGCAACATTTTCTTTTTAAGAGCTACAATGGAAACTGTACCATATTATCGTAAATTGTAAAAGGTCAAAAAACCCACCATGAAAAACCTGGTCAACATTTTGTTATGCCACTACCCCTCCAGGACATCAAAGTACAGCTGGGAAACAGATGGCATCTCTTTCCTGTTTACTTTCACTCTAAACTTACATGTATGTCCTGTGATTGGCACCATTTAGTGTTTATATAAATCTTTCCTAAAATCCAGAGCTATATTTATTTAGACAGCAGCTGACTGACAGATTGAGATTAGGATTCAAAACAACTGCTTTCATTTCCCCACAAAATTAGTAAAGTAAAGAAATGACGGGTATGGTAAATGAGAGTTGGGATAGAAATAACACAATTTTATAACTGGAAAACACCTATACCTGCATTTGGTGGAATACCTGCTCAAATGACCTGAAAAATGGTCATTGGGAAAGCAGAGTCACAAAAGATGAGAAAATAAAGATGTATTATTTCACTCTAAATTTACATTACAAATATAGACACTGAAATATATCAAGTTCCTACCTTTAATGCATCATGAAAGACTGGAACACCTGGGTGATATGTGCAAGCATCTGGTCAAAAAAAGAGAAGAAAAAAAATACTACTTTATAATAAAGAAATAACATTATTTCCTTCAGGTATTAACATTTAATCTTTTCAAATGCAGGTAATATTTTTCCTTAAAAATTCACTAATGTTCAAGTCTGAGGCATGGCATACAGTGCTTAATATAACATTGTATTAAAATGGTAGTAAAGTTCTGTTCAAGAGTATGATAGCTATAGAAAAAAATAACACAGATTAGTTCAAGTATAACAAGTTATATTGCATATTCCTCTGCTGTTTGTAGTAAAATATATTTAGTATCAAAACTTTAAGCTCCAAGATTTTGGCAGTCATCTTTCAAATCTGTTTTTACAAAAGTACCATCAAACTTTTAGTTACCCAAGACACTCTCTAAAAAGGTATTCTATGAGAAAAGGTTCTGGACTTCCAGCCAAGATGGAGGCGTAAGTGGATACAATTTCCCTCCTTGCACAACCAAAAGAAGGACAACAAATTTAAAAACAAAAACTAACCAGAACTGCCAGAAAATCGAACTGTATGGCAGCCCGACAACCAAGGAGCTAAAGAAGAAACACTCATCCACATGGATGGGAGGGGCAGACACAGCCAGCCAGGGCAGAGGGGGCTCGCAGCGAGGCAGCGGCTGGTGGACTGGGCAGTCCCACAGGTGTGTGCAGATAAAACGTGAGGAACAGCTGGGGATCCAGACAGGCCATGTAAGCCGGGGTTCCAGTGCAGAAAAAGAAAGCAGTACCTCTGGCTATAAAAACATGTGGGGGTTGCAGTAGTGGGAGAAACTCCCAGCCTCACAGGAGAGTCCCCTGGAGAGACCCAAGGGGTCCTAGAATGTACACAAACCCGCCCACCTGGGAATCAGCACTAGAAGGGACCAATTTTCTTGTGGGTAATGGAAGAAGTGACTGAAAGGTGTCCGAGAGCCAAGGAAGTGGCACTGTCCCCTCTTGGACCCCTCCCCCACATACAGCATCACAAGGCAGGGACCTGGTTGCCCCGCCTGGTGAATACCTAAGGCTCTGTGCCTCCCAACATAACGGGCCCACTGAGACAAAGAAGTAAGACCCAAATGAAAGAACAGATCAAAGCTCCAAAAACAGAACTAAGCAATGAACAGATTGCCAACCTATCTATCAGATGCACAGTTCAAAGCACTGGTAATCAGGATGCTCACAGAATTTGTTGAGTATGGTCACAAAATGGAGGAAAAGTGAAGATTATGCAACGTGAAAGAAAGAAAAATATACAGGGAACCAACAATAAAGGGAAGGAAACCAGGACTCAAATCAATGATTTGGGGCAGAAGGAAGAGAGAAACATTCAACCAGGACAGAATGGAAAAACAAGAATTCAAAAAAAATGAGGAGAGGCTTAGGAACCTCTGGGACAACTTTAAATGTTCCAACATCTGAATCATAGGGGTGCCAGAAGGAGAAGAATAAGAGCAAGAACTTGACAATTTATTTGAAAAAATAATGAAGGAGAGTTTCCCCAATCTGGCCAAGAATACAGACTTGCAGGAGATCCAGGAAGATCAAAGAGTCCCAAAGAAGCACATACCAAGGCACATCATAATTACGTTACCCAAGATTAAAGATAAAGAAAGAATCTTAAGAGCGGCAAGAGAAAAGAAGTTACCTACAAAGGAATTCCCATAAGACTATCAACTGATTTCTCAAAAGAAACCTTGCAGGCAAGACAGGGCTGGCAAGAAGTATTCAAGATCATGAAAGACCTACATCCAAGGTTACTGTATATAGCAAAGCTATCATTAGAATGGAAGGGCAGATAAAGTGCTTCCCAGATAAGGTAAAGTTAAAGGAGTTCATCATCACGACATCCTTATTATATGAAATGTTAAAGGGACTTATTTAAGAAAAAAATGAAGATCAGAAACAATGAACAGTAAAATGATAACACACTGAGAACTAAACCTAAAAAAAAAGAACTAAGCAAACAACAAGAACAGGAACAGAATCACAGAATGGAGATCAGAGGGGAGGAGGAGAGGGAAAAGGTACAGGGAATAAGGAGCATAAATAGTGGGTACAAAACAGGAAGGGGGAGGTTAAGAATAGTATAGGAAATGGAGAAGCCAAAGAAGTTATAGGCACAACCCATGGGCCTGAACTCAGGTGGGGGTGAGGGGGAAATGCTGGTGGGATGCAGGTGGTGCAGGGCGGAGGGGCAGAAAGGAGAGGAAAAAATATGGGACAACTGTAATAACATAATCAATAAAATATATACTAAAAAACTTTAAAATAAAAAGGTTCAAAATTTTAAAAACTGATATAATACATAATTGCTAATTCAACTTGTGTTAATTCCTAGATACAAACCTCATTAAAATGCTGAAGTTCTACAGTCTATTTTCACTGATTTTTATTCCGTATTTCCTTATACCCTTTCTCATTACACCCGTAATTTTTACCTAACTCTCTTATGAAAATAGGCTTATTACACTTTGCAATATGGAGTATTAAGTTTAAAAAAAAATCAGATTAATAGACACATTATTCCCTGGCTGAGGGAACCATAAACTTAGAGAACATGGGTCAGCTCCACACCTGTATAATTTTCTTATAAGGCTGCTTTGCTCAACCTTCGTGTCTGCCTGGAGTTCAACTGTTACAACCTCAAATTCCCAGTGTTTCTGTAAAATAATTAATTACTGGTACTTAAGGAAATCTCCCTATCCCTGCATTAACAGCTATCATGGTTTCCTAATTTAGTAACCAGGTGTTACCTAGACACCCGGCTAGCAAATCAAACAAGAAAGTTTCAAGTATTTTCCTGGCAACGTAAACTCATGGATTAGAAAGAAGCTGTTAATTAAGGGTAGTAATGGAATTAAGGGTTAACAAAAGAGGTTCAAAACAGAAGTAAATATGCAGAGGGATATGAAATTGAGAGGGGAATCGAAGTAGAGAACAGAGAGTATTTTTAAACACCAAATTTACAAAGTCAGGGGCATAAAATGCATAATGTATAGCACAGTATGAGGCATTATCATAAGAATGGTCAGTTTTGGCAGAATGGAAGTAGCGGTGAGTCAGGTTTTAGCCATACAACTATTATGAACAAAATTGGAAAATCACTACTTCCAAAAGTAAATAACAAGCAGATGGACAATGTCATGTCTAGCCTTTCTGTATCAGGTTTACCAGTTTTTCTCAAAGAAATATTTTATGGACAAGAAGCTGTAACATGGTAGTGGTTAAGAGCCAACGGCTTTTAACTTTAAATCTGACCCTGGCTCAAATCTGGCTCTGCCTCTTGGTAACTGTTTCAATTTTCTCACATACCTCTATGTGGATTAAATAAAATACAGTTTGTAAAGTGGCACAATTTGCAGAATGGCTTAATATATGCAAATTACGGATCAGGTTTTCTTTAAACATTCCTTTAGCTGTGTTTCAAACTAAAATGTCCTATCAGCTTAGAAGGGAATCTTGCTATTTAGTCAATACATATAAAACCTCTCCCATTACATAGAACTTTCTTCTAACCAAGTCCAGTTTGCCCTTGGCTCTTATCTTCTCCCTATCATCATTTTCTTAACTTTTCATTCTATCAACCAACTTACTGGAGTAGTCATTCTTAGTCTCTAAAACAACCCCCATTTTTCTAAAACAAATATATTCTGAGGAACCTTATGGGCACTCCCAGATGAATTTGGTACTTTGATCACACAATCCTTGACACAGTCCACTCCTCTGGCTTTCCTGTGCCCCACCCCCAGTCTCTTTCCTAGTTCTACACACACAGAGCTGACTTCCAAAACAGGGCTGTATCTTCTCTTAATTTAGGCTTATACATACACAACACCCTATAAACATATTGTCTGGTACAACAAAGTATCAGGCTTCCCAATTTAATTAATACTAAGGTAGAATATGTGCAGATGCTAAGTTTACTTTCTTACATAGGCAAAGGTTTTATTTTAAATGATGTCACCAGTTCACCTAGGCACCAAGGTAAGTAAATATTTCAGACATCTCAAAGGTCATGAGGATTTAAAAATGCAAAGAATTTAATCTTCACAGTGTGTAACCACGTTGCTACCATGTTGAACTCATGCTTCTCTGAATAATACATACTTCACAGGGTTATTGTGAAGATTAAAATGAGATAATGTAATAATGTCTAATATCTGGTGCATAGAAAACGTACACTAAATAATGGCTGAATCTGAGAAAGTGCTGTCATGTCCTGCAATATTCAAAGAATCAACTTACTTTATCCCACTCACCAATAAAAATTCAAGTTCATTGATCATTTTCTATTTTTCATCTAGTCTAGTCATTAACTTTCACTTTACATCTGTAACTCTGCACTTTGGTGTGGTGGGGATAATTCAATCACTTTATCCATAAGACGGCACGTTATTAAACTAGGAAGGCCATATACCCTGGCCTGTATGGCTCCGCCGGTTAGAGCTTCACAGGGATGCGGGCTCCACTCCCCTTGAAGGCACACACCTAGGTTGAGGGTGGGAGGGAGGCAACCAATCGATCTTGATATCTCTGTCAGCGATGAAAAAACATCCTCAGGTGAGGATAAAATAATAATAAGAACTAAAAAATAGAAAGGCCAAAGCAAAAATAACGAACACAAATGCGGCTGTACCCCCTACCCGCGGGGCAGGTTTATCAAAACTTAATGGCATAAAGACACAGAATCGTTTTCCAAAGTAACTACACTTTGTAAAAAAGTAACTTTGTAACAGTGGGCCTGCCAAACACTCCCACTGCAGGCTATCAGATAAATAAATTCCTATACTAACACCAGGAGGCTGACCTTAAATGCTAGAATACCCTGCCCAACCCTCCCGTCCCTGGATGTCAGTATCTGTCTTTTACACTCACTCACTCACGGCAAATCAACCCCCAAGGGAGACCAGTAGCACCTGGTTGACTTTTGCTTCCCCAAAGAGACGGGTGTTGGGGATAACAATGTTCTAAATTCAGGCGAATTAAGAGAGGGCGGGAGACGGTGGGAACACGTGGGGCCACCAGGAAGCGGGTCAGTGGGTTCGGGCGGTGGCAGAGAAAGGCATCAGATGCCGTTGCCGGGGTGCCCTGGTCAGAGGGCCCCCGCACACCGAGGCAGCCGCCGGGGTGCCCGGAGCGGCCCTGCCGGGCGCAGCGCAGTGCGGCTCGTGGGGGGTACCGGGCACACCGTCGGCCGGGCGGCCCCCGGGATGCCGTGCAGAGGGGAGGGCAGGCTGGCAGCGCGTTTCTCTTACCATCGGAATTGGTCTCGGGATCGAAGCGTTGACCGCAGCCCCGGTTGTAGCACAGCAGGGCCATTTTTTCCCCACCAATACGAGTCAGGCCCAAACACCAGCACCGCAAGCCTCTGCGTTTACGACTCTCCCCCGTTACCGCTGGTCTGTTGGCTGGGCGGCAGCAGGCTTCCGGAAACGGCTGCTTTTGCTTCAGGAACCTTCGCGAATTTTCCGGTCGCGCAGGCGCTGAGCAGATGGGAAGAGGCGGAGGAAGAGGTAGGAGGCGGGGCAAGCGGCAGCCGAAGGGTCGGACAGCCGCTGCGAGCGGTGGGGGGTTGGCGGTGGAGGTCAGGTGTTACTGGGAGACCTGGACGGCAGAAAGCTGAGGAATGCGGAGGGGAGTGCTCCTCTCTCCCCACATTTTCGTCACTCTTTATCGGCTGTGGGAATCTCGCGCAGATACTGCTCTCTTATTTTTGAGTCTATTATTACTCTACGTGGTTGTTTTTTTCCTGGATGCGTGAGAGTGTCTGCAGAATACTGCAGTTTTCTGGAATCTTGGCTGGAATGTGGTTGCTCGGTAAGAATGGTGGACGACTCTTTCTCTGTGTGTCTCCACTGTGTTGATTCTGAAGCCCTGAAGAAATGTCGGCATTTGGAGTGGTTTTAGTAACTGAGGATCTGGGGTCCAATGACTGTGAAAATAAAAAGCACTTTGAGATCACAGTGTCAAAGAAAAATATGGATCGAATACAGTGCAGGAAATGATCGCTATTGCTCTAAGACCCTAGAGTGATTGTTGTTATCATTTCATGTTCGTCTCCATTTAATCAATTGGTCAGTATTAATCCTCCAACCGTGGAGCCTGTAGTGAGATTTCATCAAGTACATTTTAAGAAGTACGATAATACACTAACATGCACATGCAAATGACACTAGCTCCGACTTGTATATTTCCCAAACTTGGTATACTTGAAAATAAAAGTAAACGCTTTTAGATAATATGTATACTGGACAATCTTAAAATAGTAATAGCAGTTTTTCAGTAGAAATAGAAAGCTATATACCATGTTCTAGTGATCACAAGTCTACTAATGAGAGATTGGCTTAATCTAGCCACCCCAATAAAAAGACTTTCCATTTTTCCATGTTCCCCTCCTCTCCTTATATTTAGAAATATTAAATTTTATGTAGTAACTCCAACATAGACATATACAATGTTGTATTTTTCTTCATTTAACCTGAGTATTTTTCTATTTTGTTTGATAATCATTTTGAATGATGAAGTAATATTCTGTTGAATAACTGAACTGTATGACCATTCTTCCTTTCAGCTCACCACAGTGTAGATAAGTTTCAATAGTCAACTTATTGTATTTTTTTTTTAATTTTTAGATTACCCCTCTGGATAATTATTGAGAAGTACAGTGCTGAAATAAAGGGCATACACCTTTGAAATTAAAGATTTTAAAGATACATATTACCACTTATTTTTAAAAGATGATACCAATTTTCAGTTTCACCAGCCATGGATATAAGGAATAAACCATTGGAACTGGTCTTACACAATTGGAAATGGAGAGATGTAGAATCTTGGAAAGCTTTGATTGTGGCCAAGTCCATTGTTGGAGTACCCTAACATCTGTTACATTATAAGGATTATTATCAAATGGTTTTAATATTGTCATTTTTGTCAACTTAGCTTTTTTAAAATCAGAAAATGATGAATGCTTATAATAGATAACTTCAAAATGCAGAAATATATTAAGAACAAAATCCACAATGATTCTACCACCCAGCAATAACTACTAAATCACTAAAATAACTGATATATTCATTCCGGCGGGGTTTTTTTCTTTTTCTTTTTTTTTTTTTTTTTTTTTTGTTTTGTTTCTTGTTCCCCCGTAGGCATTTATTGGATTACCAAGTACTAGGAATACAGGGACTGTGGTGGTAAAGTATTTAATTTATATAACCTTTAATTCAGTTCCTGATCCCTCCTCCCACCCAACACACACATAGTTTATGTACTGTTACATACTATCTTTTTAAAATTATATTTTATTGATAATGCTCTTACGGTTGTTCCAATTTTCCCCTTTGGCCGCCTCCAAGAACCCCTACTCCCTCAGGCAATCCGCACCCCACTATTCATGTCCATGGGTCATGAGTATAAGTTCTTAGGCTACTCTGTTTCCTGAACAGAACTTTACATCCCTATGGCTAACTGTGACTACCAATTTGTACTTCTTAATCCCCTCACCTCTTCACCCATTCCCCCAAAACTCTCTCCTATCTGGCTACTAATAAATGCTCTCCAATCTGTGCTCCCACCTCTGTTCTTCTTGTTTGCTTAGTTTGTTTTTTAGATTCAGTTGTTGATATGTATGTGTTTATTGCCATTTCATTGCTCATAGTTTTGATCTTCTTTTTCTTAAATAAGTCCCTATATCATTTCATAAAATAATGGTTTGATGATGATGAACTCCTTTAGTTTTTTCTTTCTGGGAAGTTCTTTATCTGCCCTTCAATTCTAAATGCTAGCTTCCCTGGGTAGAGTAATCTTGGTTATAGGTCCTTGTTTTTCATCCCTTTGAATATTTCCTGGCCCATTGTTTCTAGACTGCAAAGGTTCTTTTGAGAAATCAGCTGATAATATTATGGGAACTCCCTTGTAGGAAACTAACTGCTTTTCTCTTGTTACCTTTAAGATTCTCTCTTTATCTTCAACCTTTGGCATTTTAATTATGATGTATCTTGGTGTGGGCCTCTTTAGGTTCATATTATTTGGGATCTCTCTGTGCTTCCCAGATTATATATCTATTTCCTTCACCAAGTTAGGAAGTTTTCTGTCATTTTTTTCAAATTTGTTTTCAAATTCTTCCTCTTTCTCTTCTTCTTCTGGCACCCCCGTTATGCAAATGTTGGTACATTTGACATTGTCCCAGAGGCTGCTTACACTATCCTCATTTTTTTGGATTCTTTCTTCTTTTTGTTGTTCTGATTGGATGTTTTTTCCCTCCTTACATTCCAAATCCCTGATTTGATTCTTGGCTTTATTCACTTTCCTGTTGATGCCTTGTAAATTGCTCTTCATTTCAGTTAGTGTATCCTTCATTTTGGACTCCTCTTTTATGGTTTCCATGCCCTTTTTTATGCATTGAAGTTCTCTCTCAGTTCATCTACTCCTCCCCTAAGCTCACTGAGAATCCTTATAACCATTGTTTTGAACTCTGCATCGAGTAGCCTGCATGTCTCCAATTTGTTTAGTTCTTTTTCTGGCATTTTGTTCTATTCTTTTATTTGGGCCATGGTTTTTTGTTTCCTCATTTTGGCAACCTCTTTGTATTTGTTTTTATGTATTAGGTAGAGCTGTCATGTCACCCAGGATCGATTGAGTGTTCTAATGTAGTAGGTATACTTTAGAGCCCAGTGGCACAGCCTCTCATCACCCAAGGTGGGTACTTGAGATGTGCCTACTATATGTGCTGTGTACACCTGCCTCTTGTAGTTGAGACTTGATTGCTTTCGGCAGGCCAATAGGAGGAATTTACCCAGTCTGATCAGCTGCAAGGACTGGCTGTGACCATTGACCATCATCAACCACCAACCACTGTGGAGGATCAGCTATTCAGGGGCCCACTGTACTGAACCGGACTGACTTCAACAAGGCTCTGGTGCCCACTGAGTCTACCCTTGTGTGTGCTGCTTATGGAGATGGTTGGTTGGTGGTGCTCTCACATGGTCTGTAGCTGTCCACTAGATGCGCTGGCTCTGGGCCTTCCCAGGAGGTGCAGTCCAAGGTCAGCCACTGCCTGCATTCTGTCCAGAGTTACCTGGCCTAAGCTACAATGCAGCCTGCCAGATGAGTGCTACATATGCTATGCTTGGAAGTGCCCAGAATAGGCCAAGCTGTGAACTGAGCTTGGCTGCCACTAGTAGTAAGTTTGGGGCCAATTATCAAAAGGTACAGGGTATGCATAGGCCCAATGCTGGTTGTTGAAGAGAGTTTAGGAAAATCTGAAGCATGAGCCAAGACAAGCCATTTGTTTGAAAAGCCCCTGTAAACAGCTCAGGTGGCCCCAAAGTTGAGGGAGGCAGAGCCTCAGGGAATCACCAAGGTGTGGCAAACAGTGTGGGCCATGTTGATGGAGTCTCAAATATGGCACTCGCTTTCCAGCTCTGTGGGGGAAGGGCTCAGAAAAGTAACAGTGGCCTCTGCCAGCACCTGTCTAGGAGAAAGCTGTCCCCCCAGCTCTTGCCCTGATGCCAGGCACTTCAGCTCCTCCCTATTTGCCTCTAGTGATTTCAAGCTGCTGCTCCTGTGCTGGAGCTCAGAGGGAGTGAGTCTGAGTACGGCCACGTGTGGGCCCCTTAAGAGGAACTACCTGGGAAGTGAGAAGTTTGTCTTCCACAGCCTCAATCCACACTGGTTTTTATAGCCAGAAGTTATGGGGGCTTATCTTTGGCACTGGAACTCTGGGTTGGGGAACCTGCTGTGGGGCTGGGACCTCTCACTCCTGAGATACCCCTCCTGATTTTTATCTGCCATATGTGGGTGTGGGACCACCTTGTTTTGTGTCTTAGCCCCTCTTACTAGTCTTGATGTAGTTTCTTCTTTAATTTCATATTTCTAGGACTTTCATTCAGCTCAATTTCTAATGGTTTTGAATAATGGTTTTTCTTGATTTCCAATATTTTTTTGTAAATAATAATACCACAAAGACATCAAGAACTATGTATAAGAATTTTCACAGAGTAGCATTATTTAATAAAAGACAAAAACTGGAAGTAAACTAAATATTAATGAATAATGAAAAGGTATGCACAAATTGTGGTATGTCTATTCAATATGATACTATACAAAAATGAGAATGAATGAACTACAAATACAACAAAATGGATGAATATCACAAACATAATGTTGAGTGGAAAAAACCATAGGAAAAAAAATACATGCAGTGCAATCTATTTACATAAATTTCAGAAGAAGGCATAAACAAGCTATTATGTTTAAGAATACTTACTCATATAATAAAACCCTAAAGAAAAATTAAGAAGTTATCATAAATGACAGGATAATGGTTACTTTTAGGAGGGTTGGAGGAAAGGTGAATATTTCTGAAGTACTGGCATATTTCATTTCTTTAGTACTCAATGTTCACTTTATAATGTTCCATAAAGCAATGCATATATTTTATGTACTTTCCTGTCTTATTTTTCCCATATCACA